GTTCTCTGGACCTCTATGGGTCCAGATCCAAAACCTCAGCACAAGGAGGGAACAATTGGGCATCAAATCATCCCATAAATGTCCACAATAAGCCCTAAATCGCATAATACTTCACCAAACATAATATAAACCGAAATCATACCTCTAGATTGATGATCTAGGCCCCAAATCCACGAAATAGCAACCTCCTTTGCTTCCTCTTGCCTAGGATCACCTCCTTCTTTGCTAAATGGCACCCACAAGGTCAAGATATGCTCCTTTCTCTCTCAAATCGTCCAAGCACTCAAGGGTTTCTCTCTAAGGGTTGGGTGAGCACAAATGACGGCCATAAGGCCCTTTAAATAGGTCTCAAACCCGGAAATTTAGGGTTTCACTACACAGCGCAGACTCGCCGAGTCCATATCCTGGACTCGCCGAGTCCGGGCGCGATCCATCGTCCAATCCGCATCTCTACTCGGCGAGTCTGAGCTCCAACTCGCCGAGTCCCCCTCACAATTTAACAAAATTCAATTTACATGATACCTGGCAAAAGTCCGGATGTTACACATTCAATTTGTAATAAGCAAAAAAACTACCACTATAATGTAAACTTGACATGAACCAATTAAATACTCCATAAGAAAGACATAAAGATAAAACTCTGGAAGTCCATAAATCTCCTGCTTCTTTTAGAGTCAAACATCTATCATAGAAAAATATAAATTTCAATAATTACTCATCACCATGTATAAGTATCAACACATAGTACCCCAAATAATTATAAAATAAATCCCCAAAATTCCCCAGAAATTTAAATTTAAACTTACTGGTGATAATGTAAAACAACGATAGCTTGAGGCGTCTGCACAAGGACGAAGGCCGTGATTATAGAACTGAATGTTTCACCAATGGCATCACGATTTCAAGGATTAGGTTTTCCATTTCCATAGTTGTACTGAGAGTTTTGTAGATTAACTTTTCTTCTGAAATCACATCAAATTGTAAAAGTAATCGACGATGTTGGGGGTGGTGGCGGTGGAAATCAGGGACGTTGGACTAGGGGTGGCCAGAATCAACAATGTTGGGGGTAGGGGTGGCGGGTTGGATTTAGGGTAAGAGAATGATGGGCTGAAATTAGGGTAAGAATTTTTTTAGGAGAATTTGGGAGGGAGGCATCGAGGCGAACAAAAATATTGAGTGGAAAATCAAAATCAAGAAAAATATGGGAGCAAACGGGAAATTAGTTACGAGTCTAGAAATATTTACCAAGTTGTATTTTGGGTTAACGAAGGCTCATAATTTCCGTCGTTGACCCCTAGGAATTCTGTGATTGATTAGCTATAGATATTTTATGTTGTTGATACCTCATTTTCTAGTAGTAATAATGATCATACATAAACACTTCCATTAAGTTTGTTGTCTACATGTATACAAAAAATACTTAGATGTGAATGAAAAGAAATGATAATTACCCTAAGGGATAATGACTTAGGATGGTAATAACGTTTCATGTTTATCCATTTTAGATCCCTAACGTATTTTTTGTGCGTATTACACCATTAAGGTTATTATAACCGTTTACAAATAGTCATTTTAACGGGAAGAAACCGATAAAATGATTATTTATAAACGGTTATAATAACCTTAATGATGTAATATACACAAAAAATACGTTAGGGACCTAATATGGACAAATGAGAAACGTTATTACCCTCCTAAGTCATTATCCCATGAAATCATAAACCCCTATAGTAAATTTTTACTTTTTAAATAAGAAACTTGTAGGTCTTGAGGTTGGTAGTTTGGATGGTTTTAACCTTGACCTTCTTTATAAATGGAAGTAGCGGTTTCTTAATGACAACGGAGCTCTTCGGGTTAAAATTGTCAAATTTTATCATGAGGAAGGTGGTGGTTTTTCGGAAGATTCGAGAATAGGAATTAGAGGGGGTGTTTGGCAAAAGATTGTAGGATCCATTAATCACCTCCATGAGAATGGTTATATTCCTTCTAATTACATGTATAGAGTGGTGGAGGGTGAGATTCAAACGAGGTTCTAGAAGGATGTTTGGTGCTTGGATATTCCTCTTAGGGAGCGGTTCGGGAGACTCTTTGCTTTGGCCTTTAATCAAGATGCTCGAGTAAGTGAATAATTGGATCCGGAGGGATGTAATTTTCATTAGCGTCGAGGGATTAGAGGAGGGGTTGAATCGACCCAATTTGATTATCTTGTAGAAGGATATTTGGTGCTTGAATATTCCTCTTAGGGAGCGGTTCTGGAGGCTCTTTGCTTTAGCCTTTAATCAAGATGTTCGAGTAAGTGAATAATGGGATCCGGAGGGGTGTAATTTTCATTGGCCCCTCCTCTAATCCCCCGACGCCAATGAAAATTACATCCCTCCGGATCCCATTATTCACTTACTTGAGCATCTTGATTAAAGGCAAAGCAAAGAGCCTCCCGAACCGCTCCCTAAGAGGAATATCCAAGCACCATACATCCTTTTAGAGCCTCGTTTGAGTCTCACCCCCACCACTCTATACATGTAACTAGAATGAATACAACTATTCTCATGGAGGTGATTAATGGATCCTACAATCTTTTGCGAAACACCCCCTCTAATTCCTATTCTCGAATCTTCCGAAAAACCACCACCTTCCTCATGATAAAATTTGACAATTTTAACCCGAAGAGCTCCGTTCTCATTAAGAAACCGCTACTTCCATTTATAAAGAAGGTCAAGGTTAAAAAATCCAAACTACCAACCTCAAGACCTACAAGTTTCTTATTTAAAAAGTAAAAATTTACTATAGGGGTTTATGATTTCATGGGATAATGACTTAGGAGGGTAATAACATTTCTCGTTTGTCCATATTAGGTTTATGATTACACCATTAAGGTTATTATAACCGTTTATAAATAATCATTTTACCGGCTTCTTCCCGTTAAAATGACTATTTGTAAACGGTTATAATAACCTTAATGGTGTAATACGCACATAAAATACGTTAGGAATCTAAAATGGACAAACATAAAACGTTATTACCCTCCTAAGTCATTATCCCATTACCCTAACTAGTCAACTTCCATTCATGCAATGTTGCTATATGATTTTTAATGTTGCTATTGTCTTTTTCATTTTTACGGTTGTTAGCCAACCAACGGATTTTATGAAACCATTCTTAGAGAATATGTCAAAAAGCGTTTCTAGAGAACCATTTTACATCTTTATTTTTGGTTAAAATAATAAGCAAATAAAATATTTACCATATTTTAGTTTGTAACTTTTATTCATTTTATAGATTTATTTCACTTACAACATGTTACTACTTTTTGGTATTTGTGATAATTTTTTTTGGTTAAACATGGACTTTCCCAATGATTGGTCCCGGTGTAATAAGATGGAAAACGGAGGTATTCTTTTATTTAAATGTATATTACTTCGGTTCCTCAAATTCATTTTATATATAAATACATTTCTTTGGTTTCTGAAGCTCTTACAGAAAATGAACGTATTTTCTATGTATTTTGTGCTAAAATGATCAAATTCTTGAGGAATGGAAGAAACATTTAATGTATTTTCATCTTTATAGTTAATTCACTGTACTTTGAAAACTCTTCTTATTTGGACTGCTGTTTCAAAGTAATAGCCTTAGCTTGGTGGCTAAAAGTGTGAATAACAACATACTTTCATTTATTACGTATGTTTATTTGTATTCTTTCATTATTTCTAATATAATATTGTTATTTATTTACTTTTATTTAATTTAGATAGTTTTAATATATCTTTCTTGAATGAATAACAGCAGTGAGAATTTTTCATCTCACAAGAAAAGAAAACAAAGTGACTTTAAACATCCCCTCTAATAAATGAATATTTTTTTATCACTTGTCATACTGTCATTCAATTTGTCAAATGTCATTTTATAGTTATTTTGAATTTTTTTCCCACATGTTATTTATGAGTTTTTCTATTTTATTAAATTCTACATAATATTTTAATGTAATAATTATAATAAATGTAGTAATAAATAAATATCAATTTCATTAATGAATTACCTTTTAATTTCGAAATTCCTAAAATTAATGCCCATTGATTTCTATCTTTTATTTATTTTATTTTTTTTAAATTTAAAAGATAAAAAACATTTCCATTATAATAATTCATTATTTTTTCTTATTTTCTTATAAATTCAAAGTTTTTAAATATTTTAACATATATATATATATATATATATATATATATATATATATATATATATATATATATATATATTTAAATTAACGCATGTAATATATAAGTTTCACAACTAGTAAGGTATATGGAAAGCTAATCGTTAGGGAGGATATAGAAGTGTTTGTTGTGGTATAGAAATGTGGTGAACGAAACTATGCAAACATCCAGATAATATATTTTATGAGTGATAAAAATTGCTCTGGGTATGTCTTTGGTTTATTTTCTTTTAACTTAAAAAGAATCAGTGTCTTATCCATGTAAAAAATACTAATTAGTGTGCTTTTATTTTGTTGGGTATTTTAGGATTCAATATTATAAAAAAATCACAAATTAGAGGAGCTTTCACTTCAAAGGAAAATATTATTTCAAAAGAAGTATTGCTGAAACTCCTGCCAACATGCGGCTTAAAACTCTCATATACAACCTAAAAGGCTTAAAAATGGCAGTCAACAATGATTATGTGAAGTTAGTTAAAATCAAGGATATTTTTGTCTTTTCTTATTGTGGTAGTTATATTAGCTGGCAGAGTTTGGTAGAAGATCTTATGTGTTCTATATGTATATTTATATGTTTTGTATTCGGTTCAGTGATGTATTTAGACAATCAATACAATGAGTTCATCCATTTCTTCTCTTTCAAACTTAAACATTAACAAATTATTCACAGACCATTCATGATAGAAGATCCTGTAACATAATCATGATAACACCATATTAGCAAGATATTCTAAAGACGAATTTTTCACTTCAATCCACCATTGAAGCATACTTTTGTAGTAGTATGTTATGTCTCTTCATTATTCTTTATTGCGAAGTGGAAAAATACAGACAAAATTAGAGCAATGTATACATTCTAAATATAAAAATAGACACATGTAATTTGCAACCATAATTGCTTTAACATAAAATATATATTGCAAATATTGTGCCCCTCCATACATAATTATTTGAATAATACAATATAGGCATCCAATCAAAATAACAGTATTCAAGGCAAACTAATGGAAAGAATGCTAGAGTTTATGCATAATCAAATGCGCACCATACTGGGGTTGAAGGGTGAGAAGCTTATGAGGAGCATGGATATACGATGGTGAAAGTTCGAAAGAGAACTTCTGTAAGATCATGGCGAGGGCAATTTTAGCTTCAATCAAAGCAAAGTTTTGTCCAATACATATTCGAGGTCCCCAACCAAAGGGAAAGTAAATGACTTGGTTTTTTGTTGCCTTTGATATTCCTTCAGAAAATCTATCAGGATTAAATTTCTTTGCATCAGCACCCCACATTTTCTCATCGTAATGAATATTCATGATGGGTAATTCAATATGAGTTCCAGATGGTAGTGAAAATCCTCCCAGTGTGATGTCTTTGTCAACTCTACGAAATAGCCCAACGATTGGTGGATATAGCCTCAATACTTCATAGAAAATCATATTGATCTATATAAAAAGAAAAAAAAAACTGATCATTTAAGGGCATAAGATTACATAATTATGAGAATTAATTACATGCTCACAAAAATCGACCCAACCTGGATCCAATGGTCAGGTTGGGTTTTTCGATAAAATGGGTTAACTTGATCAATTGTTTAATTAAATTGGTTGGATCAGGGTTGGAAATTTTGACTTCATACCGATCTGTAAAACCGTTTTCTTTTTATATTAGATTTAATCTTACAAATTTAGAATGTGATTAAAGTAATTAAGTTGTACTTGTACTTGTGCTTCTTTTTAACTTGGAACATTGAATTAGGTTTGTAACTTATTCAACTATATTTAAACTTTTTAATATAATGTAAATTTTAAAATAAAATAAGTCAACCTTTGTCCAACCCGTTTATTAATTTAAGATGTTGGAAAAAACAAATGAGACAACCAAGGGCAACCCGGTTTTTAATAGATCAAAATTGGTTTGAAAGTTTTACCTTTGTTTTTTAAACAAGTTGAGTTGGATTCAAAATCTCAACCCATTTAACTTAACTCTTGCTAGATCTAGAATTAACAAAGTGATATAAGAACTTACAACTTTTAGGTGATTTATCCGGTCTAAATCCACATTTTTGTCCCCAAGAACATTCAGAACCTCTTCCCTAGCACGCGACTGCCATTCTTGATGCTTACTTAATAAAATCATTGTCCATACAAGCAAGCCCGATGTTGTCTCTTGTCCAGCAAAATAAAAAAGCTTACACTCTTCAATAACTTCATCAATAGTCATTCCATGATTCTTGTTTTGGTGCTCATTAACCTCTCTTATATTAGATTCAAGCATTATTCCTAACAAATCACTATTATTACCTTCTCCAGCCTCCATTGCCTTGAGCTTGTTGTTTATGATACCTCTTATAGAATGGTTTACTTTTCTGTCTATAGAATTCATCCTTCTGTTCCTCTTTGTTGGAAAAAACCTAAATAGAAATCATAGAGAGAAACAATTAGCTTAAGATTGATTTATTTATTTGGGTCAACAACAAAAATAGCCAAAATATTGGGATTTTTATCCAAAATTGTTCCAAAGTGAATATACCAACAACATTTTTTTTTGCAAAATGAAATCATGTAGTAAAACAATGATGCCATTTCTAAAAAACGACTGTCCTCCCTCATAAAAATAAATTTCGCTAAGCATGTGATTATTTTAGGATATTTGTTTAAACTATGGTCATTTGGTCAATGCAGAATCTTTTTGTTTGTTATTGATAAAGCATATCCTTTTTTTTTGGATATGTAACTTACCTAGATCCAGGAATGTAAACTGACATCACTGCCTCCTGTACAAGTACACTTTGTTCTCTTATGAGTTCAAATATCTGAAGACCTTCTTCATAATTACTTCCAAATGCGGTTCTTGATATCACATCACTTGTTAAAGCTTGAAGGTCAGGCCAAATATCGAGCTCACATGATCCCTTTGATGAAACCAACTTCTCCCACTTCCCAAGCATTTCGCTGCTACTTAACTGGAAAGCTGGTACCATATTCTGGTTACAAAACATTGGAATCGTTAGATTTTTTTTAGCAAGAAACCAAATATTAATAAAAACTATCATGAAGTTAGCAAAGAAGATAAACAATTTACATTAGTGACAAAGCCGACTAAAAGGTAATAAGTTAACAAGAGAATTTACAAAATAAATTGTAGTTATCAAAGTACCTTTAGCTTCTCCATATGGAAGGCTGGGTTGATTAGTTTCCTATGTTTAGTCCATTGGTCCCCTTCGTATGTCACTAATCCTGTTGCTATAAACTTTGTCATTGGAGAAGGTTCCAGCTTATGAAAGTCATTTAACTTTACAAATACATCTTTGATGAGATCAGGGTCCATAATAGTCACTCTTGGTTTCCATCCCATCCATGTGATTAAATTTTTACCTACAAAAAACGACAATTTGGATTATACTCTTATATGTAAATTTAAATATCATATCATTGCAACTACTAATGAAATTAACATATATTTATTATTATATTTATTATAATTATTACATTTAAATATCATGTATAATTTAATATAATGAAAAAAACCCCATAAAATGATATATAAAAAAAATTAATTTAAAATAAAATAAATGAAACATTTGAAAAAAATGATCTTTTTTATTATGGTAGATTATGATTTATTGAGAAAAGATCGGTAGGAAATTATTCCAATTGCACTTATAAACCTTTCTCATAGAAGAAATTTGTTTCGCATAAAGGGCTCAATTATCCACCATTCATGGCAAGAATATGGTTTTTAATTAGGGCGTGTTTGGCAAAAGTAGTTGTTAGCTGGAAGTGGGTAGCGATTAGTTGGTAGCATGTAGCAGGTAGCTGGTAGCGGGAAGCTGTAGCTTTTATTTGTTATATGAATATTTAACAAAAGTGGCTGGAAGCTTTTTGAAATATATAAAATTACATAAAAAGACAATTGGTTAAAAATAAATAAATATATAAATATATTTTTAAGGGTAATTATGCATGAAAATTGATTTCAAAAGCTCAGCAGCGTTTTGTTAAACACTACATGAAGTAGCTTTTAGAATCGGAACGTTTTGTTAAAACTAAAAACTAAACGTTCGTACCGCCAAACGAAACTTTTTGTTTAAACTATAGCGTTTTATCAAAAGCTAGAAGCTCCTAAACCCTTTCAAAAGCTCCGTGCCAAACACGCCCTTAATCTTTTTTATATAAAAAATCTCAAACGCTTTCAAAAGCTCGGTGTCAACTGCTAAATCGTTGTCAAAAGCCCATAAATTCGGGATTAACAGTAACACGCATCGATCTTTAAACCACCGTCACTTTCCCTCTATGAATATAAATCCAAATGTCACCGATAACATGAACAGATTGAAAAAGTTTTACCATTGTACGGGGTTTCTTGGTCTTTCTAAAGACTCATGTAAGAAGGCAACATAAAGAAAAGACGAAACTAACCATGTTTTTGCAAAGAGTGATGGGTGAATGCCACAACGCGTTTTAGAACTCCATCATCGTCATCCAGACTTAAAGGCTTAGATTTGGATTCTTGGACCATCAAAGAAAACTCTTTCATGTCCCCATACAAAAATCTGTATTTGTTTCCATTGAAACCTTGATTCCGCAGGTGCTTTTCCAGCTTTTTTGGTCTCACCCACAAAATGTTTACCAACTGCCATGCGCATAGTACAACTGCTATAGCACATGAAATTGCCACTGTGTTTGTCACTGCATCCATTATGTTTATTCACTTCCAACTAGTTCCCAGAATATGATCAATCACGACTCTTTATATTGAAATCAAACATGTTTGCATTTATCGGTGGACAAGTTGAAAGGGGAATTGACTCGAAGGTCCGCGCACAGACATTGACCACTTCTATGACTTTGTTTCTTGCCCAAGAACGTAACTTTTAATATGATGGAGTGACATACGCAATGACATAATATAATAGATAATAGAGAGGACATTATCATTTTCCTCTTTTCTTATTGAATCTTCCATGTTGACTTCCTTTTTTTGTCGATTACACTCTCTTAATTACACGTGTCATTTAATATTCACATATACAAAAATAAACTACATTCATTAAAAAATAAAAAATAAAAAATAAAAAACAAAAGAAAAAAGAGAGATATGGAAAGTTGAACAAATAGATTTTTTGAGATTTATGTTTGTATGACTTGATATATGGACGGTTCGTTGATTTTGAAAGTCCTATTCAAAAATTAAAATGACCTATAAAATTTCGGATTAACAATAGATATGACATTAGCGATGGATAGTGAGAAAAATAGTGATGGTTTAGATGGAGAAACGACATGTAAGTGATGAATTAAGGATGGGATAGTGAGGGATCAACGACGTAGTAAAAATCTGGGCCACCTGACAACACAGACGCTATGTGGTCACACCCTGAATGTGTTGAGGCCCTGTCTTGATTTATGGTAGATACATAAACAATATTATAGTCTCATTCAAATGAGGTAAAAGAAATGTAAGATGGTGAGCATCCCCAATAGAGTAAATTACACGAATGTTCCCAATGGTTTGAGGTAATTGCGTTTGGTATCTAACTTATTTTTTTAGCTCGGAAGGTCCCTACTGTTTGTTTTTATTATGAGTTTGGTCCCAGTATTTGTTTTTGTTACGCGCTTGATCGCTATCTTACGTAAAAAAACTATTATTTAAATACAAAAAAAATTATAAGATAGGTAAGGTAAGGTGAGGGGTTGGTGTTGGAAGTGTGTTTATTTAAATAAATTAAAAAATCAATAGCAAAATAGTTTTTTTAGGTAAGACATGAACAAAACACGTAACAAAAACAAACAGTAGGGCCCTTCCGAATTTAAAAAAATAAGTTAGGGACCAAATAAACAAATTATTCTAAATCATAGGGACCATTCATGTAATTTACTCTCCCTAATATTCCGCTGAGAGACTATTTCTAAACTATTCTTTTTTTTTAAATGACAAACTAACTAATCTACTCCTAAATAACCACTTATATTTCCACCGAGACTTGAACTCCTGACCTTTTATATGAGATGATCACTACATACCGCGGCCCTTTGGTAACTACCCTTTTCTAATCTGTAGCAAAAGTTGTGCATTTAATATCAGTCGCCAATCTGTTACAATCCACCGCCCTTTGGTTGTTTACACTTTAACTTCAAAGTTGATGGAGAGAAAAATATATTAGACGGATATTTCCGTTGTTTCTAATTGCTAAAAAATGGTCGTATTAGCCCAAACTGTTTTGGCCGTTATATTGTTTCAGCAGTGTATCCGTCCACTTATATGATCATTTCCGAAAACCTCGGTTAGTTTATAGCGATCATAGCTTATTGAAAAAGATACATGTGATTGGATTAATACATACTTCCTCCATATAACAATACATAGATGTACTCTACAAGACTACAACTATATATAATAGTTTTTTAATATACAATATGTTGCATATATCTCTTTCATACAATATTACGGTGTAATAATACATAAGCCAACCATATTGAACTCAAAATAACAATCTTCTATTGTTCAAGTTTATGCAGAATTAAATGAGCGCCATGTTGGGGTTGAAGGGTGAGAACAGTATGAGGAGCATGGACATAGGATGGTGAAAGCTCAAAAGAGAACTTTTGTAAGATCATTGCGAGGGCAATTTTAGCTTCCAACAATGCAAAGTTTTGTCCAACACAGATTCTAGGTCCCCAACCAAAGGGAAGGAAAATGACTTGATTTTTGGTTGCCTTTGAGATTCCTTCAGAAAACCTATTTGGATTAAATTTCTTGGCATCACTACCCCAACATTCCTCATCATAGTGAATTAGCATGATGGGTAATCCGATTAGAATCCCAGATGGTAGCGAAAATTCTCCCAATGTGATCTCTTTGTCAACTCTACGGGCTAGTCCAACAACAGGAGGGTATAGCCTTAGTACTTCATGGAAAATCATATTTACCTATGTGGAAAAAAAACATGATACTTTTTAGAGACACAAAACTACCATATATAATTATGAGAATTAACTATAGTTGTTAGCGGATTGAATTTAAATTTTCAATCATTTTAATTACACATTTTCAACCTAAAGAACAACTTTAATAAAACAGGTTGTTGAGTAAGGGCCGGAATTTTTGACATATACAAGTCATCAAATTGTTTGGGTATATATTTTTTTAATTTTATATTATGCTAATCTTATAAACTAAAAAACTACAAAACAAGCCAAAAAACAAAAGTTGCAAATCTTAGAATGTTATCTAGAAAATTAAGTTGTAATTTTGGTTTTTTAATTAGGAACACTTATTTGAGCTTGTAACTTATTCAGCTAACTTTAAACTATATTTATTTTATGTAATCTTTGATATTCAAACACGTCAACCAAGGTTGACCAATTTATAGTACATAGGTTGGGTTATGTTGCAAATCTTAACAAGTTTAAAATCAAACATGTCAAGCCAACCATTGAAAATTCTAGAAGTAACCAAGGGATAAAAGTACTTACAACTTTGAGGTGATTTAGCCCATCTAAATCCATATTTTTGTCCCCGAAGACATTTAAAACCTCTTCTCTAGCACGTGACTGCCATTCTTGATGCTTACTTAATAAGATCATCGTCCATACAAGCAAGCTTGATGTTGTCTCTTGTCCAGCAAAGTAAAAAAGCTTACACTCTTCAATGACTTCATCAATAGTCATCCCATGATTCTTGTTTTGGTGTTGCTCAACCTCTTTAATATTAGATTCAAGCATTATTCCTAACAAATCACCATTGTTACCTTCTCCAGTCTTCATTGCCTTGAGCTTGTTGTTAATGATACCTCTTATAGAATGCTTTACTTTTATATCAATAACATTCATCTGTATGTTCCTCTTTGTTGGAAAAAACCTATGCATAAATCGTAGTATAAACAATTAAGTTTACTTAGATTTACTTTTCTATTATGGGTAATCTCAAAAATAATCTTGGAGGTGTATAATAAAAAATTGTCCACATTTTTAAACATATTACACAAAATACCCTCTCATTTCTCACTATGGAATTTGCATATTTGCCAAATTCTTTCACTATTAATTATCCCAATCACAAAAATCATTGTTAAAAAGTCATCATCTTTTCACAAGGCATGTCATTTTGCAAATATGATGTAATTTCGCAAAAAAAAAAAAACACACACACGCACACCCAAATTTTTAGGTATTTTGTGGTGGTCGCTACTCCTAAAAGCATAATATATAACCAACTAGATTTACCTAGATCCGGGGATGTAAAGTGATTGTAGTGCCTCCATTGTAAGTACACCTTGTTCTTTTATGAGCTCAAATATCTTAATTCCTTCTTCATAATTACTCCCAAATGCGGTTCTTGATATAACGTCACTTGTTAAAGCTTGAAGGTCAGGCCAAATATCGATCTCACATGATCCCTTTGATGAAACCAACTTCTCCCATTTTCCAAACATTTCACCACCACTTAACTGGAAAGCTGGTACCATATTCTGGATACATAATATAGGTAACATTGATAAGGCGTACAAATTTAATAACACAACTTAAAAAGGATTTATCACTAAATTAAAATGACCAAAATCGATTAAGCATAATGTGTTTTTTTTTCCAAACGTCTTTATGAATGGTCCCTACTAGAAAAACTAATAAAGATTGTGATAATTTTTCAAAATGAGATCATCATTTGGCAAAAAAAAAAAAAAGTTTTGTGATATTTGCTCAAAAAGTGATCATTGTAAGATCGGGTCTCACCCAATTTGGTAATCTTAGTAATTATCCATTAGAAAAATAAACCGTAGTTACCAAAGTACCTTTAGCTTCTCCATATGAAAAGCTGGATTGATTAGTTTCCTATGTTTAGCCCACTGATCGCCTTCGTATGTCACTAATCCCGTTGCTATTAACCTAGCCATTGGATTAGATCTCGGCTTTTTAAAGTCATTTAATTTTACGAATACATCTTTAATGAGCTCAGGGTCCATAATAGTCACTCTTGGTTTCCATCCCATCCATGTGATGTAATTTTTACCTGCATAAGGAATAATTCCAGTTATAACTTATATACAAACTAATATATCTTATTACTGCAACTGCAAAAAAGAAGCTAACTTTATGCCCAAAATCAATTACCAATTCCGTTTTTATATTAAATGTTTGAATGTTTGATTGGAATGAGAACCTTAAAGTCAAGGGGTGCCCAGAGTAAAATTTTAATATTTTTATATCATTTATATTCAAGATTTAGGTTGGATATTCATGCCAAGTAAAATCTGAGGACATCATAAGATTGTTTATTTTGTTTGGCTAATTAGAGCATCCATAATGGTTAACTGTTCCAACTGTTTTACTGTCTTCAAACCATTTGTTTATTTTGTTAAGCCAATTAGAGCATCCACAACTGACTATGATTTGATACAAATTAGGTGGAAGGGATTGTGCACTTATATTATGCAAGGTTGATCCCCTACACAATGAATGACATGTTACAATCATGAGACCACACCTCCTTGTGGGGGAAGACCAAGAAAGAAAGAAGAATGCACCAAAATACAATGTAGAAAAGCAAAGAATCTTTCCTGCTTCATAGGTATTTACAGCTAATAGGATAGAATAGTATAATGCGATGAATTCGAATGTCTCTGAAGATCCTTATGATTTTTTTCACTAAGGTGCTTTTTGTTTTTTCGAAGCGAAAATGTCTTAAGTCTGCGGACCACCTCTGTAATCCTCTGTAGCAGAAGAGGTAGAATAAAAGTCTGCAACATTTAATAAAAACTATGTTTGTTTTTTAATGTCTGCATATTGCTGCAGTAAGTTAAAGTAAGGCGCGAAGAGGTTTGAAGCAGTTGGTTTAGTGTTGCGCCACGCAGCACACACGCAACAGTTTTTAAGTCAGGAGTCTTCAGGAAAACAAACAGCTGTGAAAGGCCAAGTGCTGCGCGGCACAACAATAAGTGGTTTGAAGTGGTTTTTTAAAAAAAAACAAACAGCACCTAAGTCTAACATTACAAAGATTAGATGTGAAACACGTATTTTATACGGATTGATTAAAAATAATTTAATATTGAAAGAAAATAATGTATTTATTTCAATTTATTTTTACATTCATTACATTTAATACACTA